CTGGAGGGTTTCTCTCCGTGTGATGGATTCAATCCAGACACGTTCTTCAGCGACTACAATAACAGCCTTAACGTGCAGCCACAAACTCCTTACGATAATGAGTATCGCAATGGAGTGATGGGTTTTAACGGAGAGGGTATTGAGGATGTGATTTCCTATGAACGCGTAATGCAAGAGAACCGCAACAATCACATGGCAAAGAAACCTGTAACAGGGATCATTGTTGATTATAGCAGCGGTAGTGATGCTGAATCGATATCTGCAACGGTAAAACACAATCAATCACTCATTCTCTTTATCAATGCTTTCATGGGATCTACTAACTTTATTCTCAGCTTTTTTCATTTATAATATGAACGAACAGAGTTACCAAGGAACATCAAGTCCAAATGATAGTGTTGGTAGCTCAAATAAATACTTCCCAAGTTGCTCAAGCACAGACTCTTGCAAAGATCTACAAACTTCTGAAGCTCCTCCTTCAATCAATCGAAAGAACCGAGAATCTCAACTCACACGGCGCAACATACCATCGAAACAAGAGGTCTTGAGTTGCTCTTATGTTGATTTTTGTGGGTGTATTTGTATCTTATAATCTCCTCACATAATGTTATATCTTTTCAGGTGAAAGAAGGTACGTCTAAAGCAGTTTCTGCATCCATAGAAAAGAAGTCATCTATGGCGAAGACAGAGAAGAAGGGCTGGTTTATCACAGAGGAAACAACGGAGAGAAACCGCAAGAATCCACGGTATATCTATCTAACGAACATGATCATTGGCTTCTTTCTCTTGGTGTCTCTCTTGGAAACATCATATCGGTTTTACTAACCGCGATAACTTGAACCCGCGGATCGAAGTTTGATCAAATCACTCGTTTTCAATTGGCTTTTTTCTCTAGTTCTGTTTTCTTCTGAATGTGTGAAATATAGATATGTATGTGTTTTGATCCGAAAACAAAAAGATATGCTTGTGAGAAAAGAAAGTTATGTGTGTATGATAATGACAAAATTAAATTAAAGTTGGAAAAATCAAAACAAACAAATATTGAAGGTGATGACTGATGAGAAGTTTGAAATTATGTTCACACTCATATACAGTAATAATAATAATATCATCTTCCTCTACTATTGACTATATCCTCTACCCAAAATCGCATATTCCTTGTCTCAACTTATTTTCTTTAATCATAAAAAAGAACTTTAAAAAAAAAATGCAACTCATGTCTCTATGGATTTTCGCCATGGATTTCATATCTGTAACATGATCATTGAAGACTATACTGAACCTAGTTCACACACACACACATTAATAAAACGTGCGACAAAAGAAAATGTTTTAAAAATATTTTTATAAAGAAGTAAAATAAAATAAACAAGACATGGTTTTACCTTATTGGCTGTCAAGTAATTAATGCATGACGTGCCTGTAGGACCCACACGGTGGTACCTAATTATATTCTTTATATTCAGAGCTAAGTAAACATTTTTTTTGGTAGATAAAGAAATTAAAAACATTAAGTCTTCGTTGTTCCTTCTCCTTCCAATTTAAATTTAAATTTTATTTATGAATTATTTTATTCGACGTCGAGCTCTTATTATTAGTAATAGACCTAATTCATTTCCAAAAACTAGATCAAAGGAAAAGGATTGCCACACTTATATAATGATCTAGAAATCTCTCAAGTTTCGATATGAGACATTTAACACTTATATATGCTATAAGTTTCGCTGCTTTTTCTTTTCCGCTCAAAGATAAAAACAAAAAAAAACAGAGGAAAGAGTGTTTTTTTTTTTTTGCATCTGAATATCTCTTTGTTTTTGTAGTGAAAATGGAGCAAAAACCAGGATTCAGGTTTCATCCAACGGACGAGGAGCTAATAAACCATTATCTAACGAACAAGAATCTTGATAAAACATGGCTTGTCGACGAGGTTATCAACGAGATTAACATTTACGACTACGATCCTGAATCTTTGCCATGTAAGTTATAAGTTTCGTTCGCTTACAGTTACGTGATTCTCAATTTCTGATTTTGTTTTGTAACCAAGTAAATGCTTTATTAGATAGTGGTCTATAGAGAGTCAACACTCGAGTTCACTAGGTCAACTCTAGTTAAAAATGATTATTTATGTTTTAAACGCGATATTACCACTGGTGTTGAGCACCAGAGTAGATTAATTATGGGCCAAAAGTCTGGAACGTTTATGGTTTATCAAACATAATTTTCTGATTTTGTTTTTAGTGTTATCGAGGATTAAATCGAAAGATCCGGTATACTACTTCTTTACTCGGACTGAATACAAGAGCGCGAAGAGAAATTCAAGGAAGAGAAGTACGAAATCGGGGTATTGGAAACCTACCGGTAAAGTTAAGAAAATTAAAGATAAGAGAGGAAAAAAGCGTGAGATCGGTGAGAAAAGAGTTCTTGTGTACCATTTGGGTAAGGTTCATAATGGTGTCAAGACTCCTTGGGTTATGCATGAGTATCAGATGCTTCATCAAGATCCGGTACATGC